ATTTATTTTTAAACATTGCGAAGGCTATGCGTTCGATTTTGTTTTGCCAATGAAACGGTCGACACTGCAAAAATGCGCGTTGTGAAGAATTAAATTATGACAAACACACCTTTGAATAGGGAGAAGAAAGATGAACACGACTCCATGATGTGAATTCTAGCTTTGTTCAGCTTGGTAGTAAATATCCTATTATTCAACTGATTCCAATATGTGCTAATAATAAAAGAGAATGTGTGTCTGTGTGTGTTTGTTGGAGCTGCACAGGGAAGACTGCACGACCGAGAGCAACGAAATTTGGCACAAACGTACATTGGAGGGAGGACGTGCACCACGGAGCCCGTTTTCTGAAATTTTAATTAATTAAAAATTATGCGAAATTTTGACGTTTTTCCTTAAAAACTTTCGAAAATATTACAACAAAAAAAATGATTTTACACAATCTGAAGGTTCAAATCAGTTAAGTTGCTGTACTATTTTGTGGCCAATTTTAATGAATTTTTAAATATATTTTTAGGCATAATTTACAACAATACTTTTCATTGTTGCAACGCAGCTCAAACCATTTTCAATGTTTGAACAAATATTTAACTGCATATTTCTCTTTCATCGTTGTAATCTGAGATAATATCCTAATAGATTTTGCTTTCATGTTTCATTTCTTCAAAATTTTTGCGAAATCTGTAAACAGAGCTCTCCGCGATATTACTTTACTTACCTTTAGAAATATATCCAGTAAGCTGAATGGTTATGGTTGCTACGTTTTCATGCTTTTCTCAGCATGTTTTAATCCAGCTTACATGCTGCTGGCCATAAAATTTGCTGCGTCATTTTAATGTTGAAATCAAATAATTCGACATTTTTGAAACAATTTATAGGAAACAACGATCAATATCATTGAATTAGGGGCTGAGACAGGGGAACTTTTCGAAATTTTGTAGGTATATAAAAAGAAATATTAAGAAACATGTTGAAAATTCGGAAATCAAAAATGCATTCATAATCGGGAGCAACTCATCTACCAGATTAACGTGCCCCTCCTGTGCCCCAGGTGAAAACACCACGATACCATTGTGTGCATAGATGCTACTGGAGGTCATTTCTCGACAAAATCCGAACTTGGGCATAAAAAAATATGGGTTCTCCATCTCACAGATTAGATGCTCCCGACTGAAGGTTAAAACATATGATGACGGTGGCCTAGTGATAAAGTCTCGGGTTTTAGGCCGGATGCTTTCATATTCGAAGTCTGATCCCACTGAAGATCCGCCGTGTGCGTGAGCCTGTTGCACGCTAAATCAGATGAAGGAAGTCAAAGGTCCTTCCTTTGTTGAGACTTGGAAGCTTGGAGAGATGGGTGCCAGCTCAGATGTCGTCCTTCTCATCTTACTGTAGTTCAAAATTGCGAGGTCCGTCCAAAAATAGCCCTCGTATTGATTCAAATCAACGTGACGTGAATATAACCAAGCTAAGCTATATTTTCAGTTTTTATTTCTTGTGGAATTTATTGTGAATTTTATACTTTAAATTTACAAAAAATACAGTCTAAATATTTCATAAGGAAGTTTCCTTCGATTATATGTGTGTTTGATGATATTTCTTATACACAAATAGTTTTAAACCTCGTGTTACTTCAAAACGAGAAGTTAATTTAACTAAACTAAACTATCTGATGCCAAACGTTCATGCCAAAATTTAATTATCTTGCTTTTTGCGTTATTGAACTATTGTGTCATGAATAGACAATCCGGCACACACCCTTTGACGGAATTATTCCAAAATATGATCTACAATTCGAAGATAACAATACCGTAATTTTTCATTATGCAGTTAAGTTAATATATACTAAATAATATATCATTGAAAAATAATATTAATTAAATAACTTAAATATATAATTGAAAATTTATCTGTTTATCTTTTTTGGCAAAACAGTATTACTGATCCCGAACGAAAAAACTTCAATGTTCCACCAATAGCTGTTTCAAATTGAAGGAATTGTGTGTATAATCATCATTTTGTCTTATAAGTAAATAGTAATACATATCCAATCCGTGTTTTTGTGCCTTTGAGTAAAAAGCGGTATCAAGTTTCAAACTCGAAACAAACGCAAAATGCGCGTCTCTCATCAGTTGCAAATTTTTGCTGCTGATGTTCCTACAAATATTTCATTCGCCGTCACTCCAGACTCTCTTTGAACCAGTGCCGCCAACATGTGTTTGCTTGGACATGTGTAAAAGCGGCTTCGAGTGAATGACAAAGTAACATGCTTTCAACAACATGCTTTTATTCATCGTGGTCCAATAGCTAATTTCTAAATCGTTAGAGATAGACATATAGTTCCAACTGGAAAAATGTTTTAAATGTAGGGAAGAATTACAATATATGTTTTTTGAGTGAATAAATATATTCCTGAGAATGCTACGAATTCTAGCCTTTTATACAGTCCCCCGGTCCTATCAGTCCTATTTAGTAAAATATTTTTGACACTCTAATATTTTAAACATAAAAAGTCCCACTCTTTTGCAACTAAAACTGTGACCGAGTTACGGAGCTTTGAATATCGCTGACTTAGACCACTTTACACCATTTCAATAGCCATCTTGAAGACGATCCACCAACCAATGCGCAGCACTTTCTCGACGAGGCCCCTGATTGGTTAAAAATCATGAAATTCGAAGCTCCAGTACTCGCTCAGTTTTAGTCGCAGAAGAGTGGGACTTTTTTTGTGTAAATTCTTTGAGTGTTAAAAATATTTTACTAAATGTGACTGATAGAACCAGGGGCTGTAGAAAAAGTTAGAATTCGTAACTTTTTCAGGAATACATTTATTCACTCATAAGACATATATTATAATTCTTCTCTTCGTTTCAAGCATTTTTCCGATTGGAACTATATGCCTATCTCTAACGGTTTAGAAATTAGGTATTGGACCACGATAAGTGTGGACACCTGTACAGTACTTTGATGTACACTGCACTAGCCAATTGACTCCTCTGTATAAATCAGTTCTTTATTCTTTCGATACTCGCGGCCCAAAGGAAAATAATGAATAACGAAGATTTTTATCAGGGATGAATTCGATTTGCCATAAATAATGGATATGTGTTTGTTTGTATGAAAGAGATATATTTATTATTTCGTTGCTTTACTTTTTAATGAAAAGGAGGGTGAGTTCGATATTTTTTGAGATAGAAATTTGCAATCGATTGCTTTACTCATATGCAGTTTTGCTAGATTTTTGCAATTCTGTACACTTGCGTATTACCGGTGACAGAAAAGTAATTTAATATGTTCAGAACTTACTTATCAGTTAATCAATAATTAATTAATCACGATATCATCTAGTTAATAATTATTTTTTATCTATTGTGGTTTAATTTCCATATTGTCTTGTTCGCAGCGTTTCACCCTATTAACAAATCTTGCTTCGACCTCCATAATATTGATAACACTTTTTCTATTTTTAGAACAGTAATAAAAGCTCGCTTATTTACGACCCTTTTATCTTTTGACATCCCACCAACCTCCACGTAATTGTTCCGGCGCTCAGACAAAAGAAGTGAAGTGAATTGTGGGAGAAAAAGTTGCGAGGGAGACGAGGTGGTAGGCGCCATTAATTGAATTGGGTTTCTGTACAGAGTGTGCAGGGTTCTGTAGGAGTTCCAGAGGTGAGCTCCATTGGATTAAGAGAAGTAATCTTGAGTGATAATCGCTTTTGTGCATATGTATATGCCTCGTATTTAAATAGTATATAGTTCAGATCACCTCAGATGGCACCTCTTGTGCTGAATTGATAAAAAATAAAATAATAAAATTAATTAATAATTAAGTTATGAAAACATTAAGGCGATGCACTGTCGTAGAGGTACAGAATTTGGGAGCTACAGTTCATCAGGAGGTGACGGTAAAATTTATTAAAAATGTCATCGTTACAAACCTGAAACAAATCAAGCTAGTTAAATACGAGCGTTTCTCAAAAATTATTTTATTTATAAATTACTCTTACCTAAGCAGCCAAATAACTTACAAAATTAAGTGCCTATAAGTATTTATATTTCGATTAAGGAAACTCTTCTATCAAACTGCAATCGATCAAGTACAAACAATGTAAACATGATTCAGATTAGACGTAAAGTCCATACCTTGCAAATTCTTCAAACTATTCAAAATTAGTTGTCTTTTACTTACCAATAACAGGCGCAATGAGTTTCACAAGATAATGTTTAAACAACAATAGTAAAAGCTCTGTTGTTCAAAAGCAGAAATTTGAAAGCGGGTTCGAACATTCAGGTTAGTGGCCAAACTTGAACAAGCCAGAATTATCGATTGCTGATACTTTTCCAGCTTGATGAAGCTCTTCGACTACCGTAAGTGACAGATAATAAGATGAATGGGCCCTACGAGAAAGCAAAAAAAGCTTTCTTTGAAGAGAGTCCATGAGTTCAAACGAGGGTTAGAAAAGCAGCTGCTTGATAGATATTAACAATGGATATGAAAACTGAAGATGTTTGCAAGAAGCATAAATTATTATTTTTAACAGACGGAAGAAACAATTTACGACTTCTCATTAAAAAGTTTCTATTAAACAAGAAATATATAAAAAATTAAAGTCAATTCCTACTTAGGTCAACAACGAAAAATTTTATTTTGGAAATTTTTTTCTCGCATATAAAACTAAATTTCATTAATTAAATTTCATTAATGAATTAATATTTGAAAAAAATGTATTAACGTTAAGTGTCATCCACTACAAGTTTTAAAAAATGTATTTGAACTTGAGTGGATGAATATAAAGTATTTTATTAACGATTGAAATTTGAACAAGATATATAAATATATATAGGGAGAGAGTGAACTAACAGTAATAATTGAATGAAAAAATAGACCTAAGTTTATCCATTCAAACGGGGAACAAAACATTTTTGGATGCAATTGCGAACAAGAGATATTTTTCAGAATATAAATTAAGTACAAAAATGATATGTCTTGAGTAAATCTCTTGACCCGGACGTGATTTGAACACGCACCCGCCTGATCTGGAGTCAGACGCGCTACCGTCACGCCACCGAGTCCCGTTCCGCATTTCTGATCCCTACACCATGATCGTAGACTGTGCGAGGCTCTAATAAATACAATTAGTTAATTAAATTTAATTAATGAATTAATATTTGAAAAAACTGTATTAACATCATGTGTCATCCAATACAAGTTTAAAAAAATGTATTTGAACTTGATTGGATGAATAAAATGTATTTTATTAACGATTGAAAATTTGAACAAGATATGTAAGTAAATATATATAGGGAGAGTGTGAACTAATTGTAGGAATTGAAAAACAGTATAAAAGTTACAGCGCTTCAGAGATTACCTACTGAAACAAATTTATTTGCAGTTTGAGCACTTGTTATCCTTTAACAACTTTATGCTTCAAAGATACTTGGCAATCTATTTAGAACATTATACTTTGGTTAGGGAACAATATGTTAAATACCTCATTCCTTTATAAACAATTGGTTGTATCAGGTGTGACAAATGAAAAGAATACTTTTTCTGTAACGGTGTTGCTTCTAACAGAAGTGGCCTAAAATGTCTGCCGATTTCTATGAGAAGTCCTCAAACATTCTAGATACAGCCCTGATATTTCACCATGTGAATTCTATATTCTTGACCTGTCTAAAAATGTCGCTGAAAGGTGAAACGTTGGAGCATGGGGTGGTCATATCCCACTTCGCACCTTCACCCCCTAAAGAAAAATTTCACTCTGCTATAAGGGCCAGATTATGGATGCCTCCAAACTTTTTCAAAGACAAATTACCTCTATTGTTGGCTGGAACGGGAAGAAACCATTGAATCTCAACAATATTGTCACACATATCTGAGACTACTAAATGGGAGATGAAAGTTAGTACAGAGAAGTTATCGAAAGAGATAGTGATGCTTTAGAACAGTGCCCTCGACCTAATAGCAAAATTTCGATCATAAATCCTCAAACATCTTAGGTGTAGCCCCGTTATATCACCATGTGATTTCCGTATTTTCTGCAAGGTAGAATAATCACTGAACGGTCAACAGTTCTTCTCTGACAAGGAAGTGCAGGATATCGTGGAGAACTGGGGATCTAGGGGAAGCTGGAATCAGTGTCAAGGGCAATTTTATGTAGGTGTCAAGTCACATGTGAGCTGAAATTAAGATGCTCTGTAACTGAAATATTCTTTAAAATAACCATAATTCCTTTTCATTTGAGCACACCTTATGGAAGGGAATAACTTCGACTGGAAGGTCTGTGGCAATACCTATTTACAGACGCCATTATTCTCTTCGCAGAACAATATCAAGTTAGTACAATACACAGGGAGATTCAAAAGTCTTGACACAAATTTAAATGGCATGTCAGGCAAACAAGAACAAGACATTTTAGCAAAAGAACAGGGGGTCGGAAACGCAAAAGGCTACAGCTATAGGGGGCTGTTTGCCAGTGAATTAAATTATAAAAGATGATGCACCGTATATAAAGTGTACAACACATGTTGATTGGAATGCAAATTCACAATAGAGCAATGGCACAGTTGCATGAATAACAGCATTCTAAGTGTGTATCGACTCGGACGGTTAGTCTTTTGAACACTTACTCTAGAAACTTCAAATGTTTGCTGTGTAGTTGCCCCAAACATGGATTTATATATGCTGAATACTTGAAATGGCGTTATTGACAATTTGTATTGATGGAATTGTGAATTTGTATCCAATATCACATGTGTCGCCCTCTTTTTTGATTTATTCTTTCTTATTATTGAATTCATTAGTAAACGGTCACCCCTGTCGCTGTTACTTTTTACAATTGCGATAACATATTCTATTCTGAAAATGATTTGTTTTCTTACGTCTGATCTACCAAGGACCTGCAGGAAACAACGTTTACGGTAAAATAATTTGCTATTCAGTGTTATGCAGAAAATAACACAAGAATAAAAATTAGAATAATAATTTTAATATATTTATTTCAGTCTGTTTGAAATATTTTCCATTTATTTTTTGTAAAAATGAATAAAATGAATCAAATTTGAATTAAAAATGAGCGTTCCTAGGAAACATTTGTAATTCGCCTGCTAATCATCTGTACGACTCTTATCATTCCCGCTTAATAGGTCTGTCAGCAAATGAAAAGGCCATTATTCATTTGGCGTACCCGCTTCCATTACGGGTGTGGAGGAGCTAATGGAGCGGCCACCTCACTCTCCATTAAAGACAGCGCTCCTGAGCCAGGTGGAGAAACGTGATTTATCACCGAAAGAAATTTCCAGCTGCAATCACACCCCCGAGGAATATATATAGAGAGAGATCTCATTACCGAAGAGTAAGCTTCGTATGTCTAAGATCATTAAGAAATTCTGGAAAATTTTACAAATGAAATTAGAATTCGGTGAATAATGATTCTTTCAAACACTAAACAGTATAGAAAAAGTACTCTTTCCCAATTCCTATTACGGAGATATTGGTTTGCGTATGTTATTCTAGTGAAATTAATTAATTGTTATTTTGATTTCAGAAATCTATAATAATAATTTAATATTTTTAATATCAAATGATAACAAATTTGTAATAGTTATATAATATTTTTAATATCAAATGATATTAAATTTGAAATAATTATATAATATTTTTACTATCATATAATAATAAATTTGTTATAATTATATAATTTTTTATATTAATTAATAATTCTATATAATTTACTTCATTTATTTAAATCATTTCCTGTCCGTATTGTTTCAGAAATGAAAATATTTTTTTTATTTAATTCCTTTCTAAGATATTTTCTTGTTCTGAACAGGAATTGATTTTAAATTGAAGATACTGATAACCAATATTTCTAGCAATTTATGGTTCGCTATTTTTTTTGTCTTCATTCATGATTCAACAAGGAAACATATAATTTTTATAAAATCTTCAGCAATGAAAAAAATATTCCTGGATATTATTTCCAACGACGCTTTTCTTAAGAGTTACTTTTATCCATTTCCTTTTCCCTTTTTCCAACATTTTATGAACGACTTCGAATCTACCATTAAGCCTATCAATCGATCTCTGTTGAAGAGAGGCTAATTTTTTCGAAACATCTCTACGCTTCAAATTCCCCATCAAAATCCCTAACATTTCATTCCATCAGCTGAGGCTGGTGAAGAAATCATTAACTCAAGAACTTAAACCACCCTAAAGTTTCCAACAGAAATCTCATATCCTGATACTAGGGTAAGGAAAAGTATCTTCGTAAATGCAAAAAAGCTTTTAGAATGATGTGGGAGGTTTTATAAAGATATATGTTAGGGAAAAAATGCATAACTTAACTGAGCGCATATATTGAATGAATTCCTCTGTATTTCTTCAGGTTTTGTGCAATGTATAAATTGTATGTTATTATTTTGTTCCATCAGGAATAAAGTATATTTGAATAAGAATTCTTCACCGAAGAATCATGCGAAGTCTTTTTGTACACTTGTGTGTGTGTGTGTGGGGGGGGGGTTGTTATGGTTCAGTAAATAGTCCAATTAGTGTAACAGTTATTTATTTAATTACTCATGGATAAATTTACACACATAAATTACTCATGGATAAGTTTACACACATAAATTACTCATGGGTAAGTTTACACACATAAATTACTCATGGATAAGTTTACACACATAAATTACTCATGGATAAGTTTACACACATAGATTACTCATGGATAAGTTTACATACATAAATTACTCATGGATAAGTTTACACACATAAATTACTCATGGATAAGTTTAAAATTACTCATGGATAAGTTTACACACATAATTTATACACATAATTCCATGCGACATTTTGTTCGATTTTAATTAATGTTTCAAAATGTTTTAAAACATAAATTGTAACAATGTTCTTATTGTTGTAAATAAAATTCAAACCATTTCATTTTTTTCAGCAAATCTTTTATTCACGCGCTTTTGCATTTGATACGGTTGAGATAGTATAAGTTGTTTACTTGGTAAGTTAACTTTAAAGCAGAATTTTCACTTTATTATTCATTGCATTTCTGAAATATTTTATCACACCAGCTTCAAAGTAATATTTTTATAAAGCGTGGCAACAGATAATTGATTTGAGGTATGTTTGATTTTATTGTGTGTGATGTACACTGAAATGATTTTCGTCCGTTCTTCAAGCATTTAATCTCAAGCTTTCCTGCCATTTTAAAATTATGAGGCATGAAAACGCTTTCAAATTTTTTTTATATTGCACTACAGGTATTTTTTATTAAAATTTTAGTTAGGCTTAAGAGTACAGTACTACGGCCAAACTTGAATTTCCTCAAGTGTCAACTCATGAAATTTGATATTAGAAGCTAGAAATTACAGCCTGAAACTAGGAATTACAAAAAAGCAATAGTGTACGGGAAAACTAACTAATTTTTAAATTTTATTGTTTACCTCCTATACTCCCGGATCTTTCAGATGTCTATGAATTTTCTGCCGTCTCACTTTTTGTACCCACTGGTTCACACAGCCGTGCAACATGTTCAGCGTTAATCATTCTACGTATGAGTGATAGATGAATTGAGTGAAAGTTATATGAAACTCATTTTTAAGTTTCGTTAGCTGCGATGCATCATACAGAATTGTATAGCTGGCATTTTAAAATTTACGTCTTTAAATATTTTACTATATATCAAATACAATAACATATTCAGTTTTTTGTTCATCTGTCCTGATTTATCGCGGCTCAAACTGAGACGGGTAATGCTATAATTAATATAAAATACAAAAATAAAAAGTAATTTAAACGGGCAAACCAGGTAGTCGCCGAAGGCGGCTAGTCTGTAATATGTAAAAAGCGAATTTCGAAACGCTGACTGACTCGCATAACTTTAGCTAAATATTTTATTGGCTTTAAACAGTCACGTAAGTTTATTTAAATATTTTATTGCTTTTCCTTATCTTATATTCATTTCATTCATTTCACCTACCAAAGATAAAGGAATATTCTGAAATTGATAGACTTTCAAGACGAATTATTAGAGATCATAAATCTTAATCACATTTTTAAT